GACGAATGTGATATTCCAAACGACACAGTCTTATTTCGTGATGAGCATAGAGCTCAGTTCTTTTACGACTTTCAAACGCGACGCTCGCCAAGCAGGATTGCGACGGATGTGCGCGACACGGTCTTGTCCGGTTAACGAAGGGACTAAGCGGTATCGCGACAGAGACGTGCGTGTGTTCCAAGCGAGTCGCTATCAAACCATACGAAACAATGCCAAAAAGAGGGTCGCCTCCTAAGCGTTGCCGCGACCCGAGCCGAGCTCGAGACGTCGTCGTGGCTCAGAGCCGATCCTCGAGGCACACTAAGCGTTGCCACGACCCGAGCCGAGCTCGAGACGTCGTCGTAGCCCAAAGACACTAAGCGTTGCCACGACTCGAGCCGAGCTCGAGACGTTGTCGTGGCTCAAAGACACTAAGCGTTGTCACGACCCGAGCCGAGCTCGAGACGTCGTCGTGGCTCATAGACACTAAGCGTTGCCACGACCCGAGCCGAGCTCGAGACGTCGTCGTGGCTCAAAGACACTAAGCGTTGCCGCGAGGCGAGTGAACCAAAGAGCGTGTGACAACTGTACCAAAACTCAAATGTACTGACCAATGTTGAATAAACTTTGATACGAAACCACAGCGTCAAAGGTGTTGGCGCTGACCACAGAACACCAATAATAAGTGTTATCGTCGTTTACAATCGGAGTATCTTTACCAATGGAACGCATTTGATTTACATGTCTTTTCCAGGAACGACCGTCATCCAATGCTATATTGTAATGCAACTTCACTATTCTTTTTGCAATTGTACCGAATTTCCATTTGGAGTCTTTGGTATAATTTCTACACGCTACCCTCTCTCCGCATATAAATTCTTTGTTACATGCTTGTAAGTCGCTTGCTGCATTCTCTATTTGTTTATCTAGCCTTATTAAATCTAAGCGAGTGCGTAATTTCCTATTTAAGAACATTTCTGCTGGAGACTTGTTTGTGGTCGCATGTGGAGTAATTCTATATTGTAATAAGGTTTTACTTAAAACTACATTTAAATTTAATGAGTTGCAATTTGTGCGTTTTAATGCTTGCTTGAATGTCTGTACAAATCGTTCTACTTGGCCGTTCGTGGCAGGATTATATGGTGACGTGAGTTTATATATTATGCTCTGTGATTCGAGGAATTCTTTGAATTCGACAGAAGTGAAGGTTCTGCCATTGTCAGTAACAATAATCGAAGGTATGCCATACGCTGCAAATATCTGCTGACACTTTGAAATTGTACTTCTAGCGGTAATGTCCTTCATTACATGTACTTCGGGCCATTTTGAAAATGAGTCGACCATAACCAAGAACATTTTATCCAAGAAGGGACCTGCAAAATCGAGGTGCACGCGTTGCATAGGTGCATAGGTAGCCGGTTGCCACGCGTGCACCGCTACTTTTGGAGGATTGTTCATGTGCATTTTACAGTTTGCGCAATTCTTTACAAGTTTCTCAATGTCCCTGTCTATTCCCGGCCACCAACAGTAATTTCAGGCTAAATTTTTCATTCTTACAATTCCGAAATGTCCCGCGTGCAATTCATTTAAGATTGCTGAGCGTAGTGCTTTTGGAATGACTGTCTTAAGACCGCGCATAATTACACAGTTTTGTAGACTAAATTCTATCTGATCCAACTGGAAACGTTTTGATCGATGAATCTGGTTTCCCTTTTCCAATGCTTGCAATAATTCTGACAATTCTTCATCTTTTTTGTTTCTATTGCAATTTTATTTACAGTTATTGGAAGTGTCTCCATTAACCCCAATTGAAAAGCATCTACTACATCGGCCATTGAATCTTGTTGACTCACTGGTAATCTAGATAAGCAATCTGCATTTGTGTGCTGTTCGGATTTCCTGTATTGGATGTCGTAATTGAACCCTTGAAGAAATATTGCGTAATGCTGCATACGCATTGCCGAATAGATAGGTAAACTTTTTACGGGCGAAAATATATGTACCAATGGACGATGGTCCGTTATCAAGGTGAACTTATTTCCATAAAGAAATTGAAAGTACCTTTTTACTCCGAAAATTATCGCGTAAGCCTCTTTATCTATCTGTGAATACTTTAATTGAGTATTGGAAAATGCCTGAGAGGCGTATTGTATTACCCTCTCTGACCCATCCGGGTATCTATGAGATAACACCGCGCCTACTCCATACGGACTGGCATCCGTAGCTAAAATAATAGGTAGTTTTGAATTGAAGTGTACTAGTACTTTATTACTCACGAAAGCGTCTTTCGCTTTTTTAAAAGCACGCTCACAATCTTGCGTCCAACGAAATTGAGTATTTTTACTTAATAATTTATTCAGCGGTTGCAAAATAGTACTCAAGTGTCGTATGAATTTACCGTAATAGTTTATCATCCCTGTAAATGCGCGAACTTCTGTCACGTTTGTAGGGCGAGGCATGTTTTTAATAGCTTCCATCTTATGTTTTTCTTTATGTTTATCTTTTCGCGGTACCTTTTTTTTTACGTGTGGAAATCCTTTATGGATACCCGGGCCCCCCTCTGGGAAGGGAGTTTACAAATGGCCCGGGTTATGTGGGACTGCCCCCCTAATGTCGATCGGGGTGCGGCCGCTGGCATTGCGACCGCTGGGCTTACCGCACTAAAACCACAAGGTGACCTGCGCGGTGCTGTAACTTGGGAGACGCCCAGGATGTGGCAGAGCCATACTTCTGGACGCCCCCCGCACCGGCCCGCCGTTTGACAGGCGGGCCTTCGCGCACCCTCCCCCGTTGTTATGGGGGGAGGGGGGACTCCCCCCGCAGGAGGAGTCCACTACTCTACTGGGCGGTCACAACCTCTGCCGCCCGCCTCCGTGGAGGCAGGGCCTGACGGGAGTCCCAGCCCGCCAGGCCCCGGCCGCCTCCCCCATAGTTGGGGGAGGGCCGTCTCCTTACC